AGCAATTTTTCCTCATCATTTGGCAAAATCACTCTACACTTATTGATATTCGCACAATCGATTTTATGTTTTTCGAAAGAGTTTTCAGTTTGAAAATGGCACAAACATCTATCGCACAGTCTAATATGACCGTTATGTTTTGAAATTTGAGAACTTAGCAGTCGAGATAAATTTCGGATCCAAGCAAAATGATAAATTACACTTTTTGAAAAAAATTCCATCTTCAAATCATCATCATCATCATCATCATCATCACTTTCCACGTCATTTTCACTTTCCACCATCAGAAGATGAATTGGAGATTTATTTGATCTGTGTTGGCTTAAATAAGGTAGTACTATTTCATTACCACCCTTATTCGCATCGCGTTCTATACCATAAACGTTAATCTCTAAATCATTAATCGCTTCGAATTTTGGAATGTCCTTCAAGCGAATAGGAAAATTTATACTTTCGTACTTTAGTACTGAGCTGAAATGTGGATACGAACTGATCTTTTGTACATTTTATTTAGCTGGATGAAGAGCTGCCGTAACGGACCAGAGAAAACAATACGGATCGTTGTTTCTAATATTCACGACTGCTTTCTTACTTTGCACGTTCTTAGGCAACTCGATGAATATCGACAGACCACCGTGTATCGGTATATATCTGTTGATATTTACCGCCAAGTTTATTATTACCAACAACGACCAGCCCGATTCTTTTTCTTGGAAGTCTTCGATTTTAGTTAATAATTTTTCCAGTACATTGACATTGAACCACTCATTGATCTCTATGGATGATAGAATTACTTCGTTTTTCGTATTAAAGAACTTTAGGTCTTCAATAAGCTCACCGCCTTTCATAGTCTCGAATTTACAGGACAAAACAACGTTCACTTTCAAATTATCATCTTTTCGGAGCGCATTTTTTACTCGAACAGCGAACAGTTTTCTTGAATCTTCCAGAAAACGCTTCAAGTCCTTGTGTCGCAAATTTGCTATCACTCCCGTTCTTATTCTCCCCTTGAAGACTGATTCCAAGTCATCCCATTGTACTCTGTCACTTCTTCTCTCTCTCACAGTTTCTTCACCCCTTTTTTGAAGGTGCTGTTTAAATTTTTCATTCAACGATTTTAGTATTCCAATGGTTGTCAGGATTTTGGTTTTCTCCCCATTCGTAAGCGCAACGTTCCTCAGAATTTTGTTCAGAAGTCGAATATTTTGAGTACCAAACTTTGTCCACTTTGTAATTTCCACAATCGATGATTCTTTGTTGAGCAGTTTATATGCTTCTTCCATAATCTTAATCAATTTCTTACACTTTGCAGAATCCATTTTTTCCTCGTTAAAAACGTTTACAATAAAGTACACTCGATGAGGTTCGAACGTCAATGGTTGCTCTACATCACAAGCGGTTTTTTATAAGTCTAATGCATGAGCTCCCCTCATCATTACCTATTTTAGGTATAATGGTATAGGTATAAGGTATAAAGGTATATATACTATATTTTAGGTATTAGGTATAAAGGTATGTTAATTAAAATCGACAACGGTTCTAATTGTCTATCCCTTCATTAATGTGTGTGTGTGTGTGCGTGTGTGTGCGTGCGTGCGTGCGTGTGCGTGCGTGCGTGCGTGCGCGCGCGCGTGTGTGTGTGTGTGCGTGTGCGTGTGCGCGTGCGTGTGCACATTAAATTATTGTAAACAATTTTTCGGTAACGTACAAAGGTTAATTTGAAATGTCCTTTGATTTTACCATCTCCCCTAGGCCACTGTATCGTAGCGGAACTTGTTAAATTCTTTGGCATCAAAGATCCGCCACCGTCTCGATGCGCAATTCTTCTCGAATAAATAGTGCACATTAAATTATTCTAAACAATTTTTTCGGCAACGTACAAAGGGTTATTCGACACCTCCTGTGATGTTACCGTCTCTCCAAGGTCACTGTATCGTAGCGGAACTTGTTAAATTCTTTGGCATCAAAGATCCGCCACCGTCTCGATGCGCAATTCTTCTCGAATAAATAGTGCACATTAAATTATTCTAAACAATTTTTTCGGCAACGTACAAAGGGTTATTCGACACCTCCTGTGATGTTACCGTCTCTCCAAGGTCACTGTATCGTAGCGGAACGATAGTGGCGAAGAAGGCGGAAGAGGAACAGGGGGGTTATGACGATGATGAAATGTCATCGGAATTCTTCGGTGACATACGAAGGGTCATTCTTGATCTCCACCGACTCTACATGCTAGTCTGCGGGGAAGTGTAAAGGGTAGGAGCTGCCTCGGGATCGCAAGTACAAAATTCGGTAACGTACAAAAGGTCAATGTACTCAATTACGTCTGATGTAAAATTCCTAAAATCTGCCGTAATATTTCTGAAATTTGCCGTAAAATCCCTGATACCTGCCGTAATATTTCTGAAATCTGCCGTAAAATCCCTGACACCTGACGTAAAACTAGGGCCCCCTTCCGATGACGTCAGCCGATGAAGGTGTCGGCGCCGTTGACTACTGCGCGCGCGCAGCACCCTCTTCAAAGAAAAAATTTCGGTGCCGTCGGTAAGCAGAAATCTTTCATACGGGGCTCAATCACCCTAACTTACCATACACAGGGGGCGCCAACGTCGCTAACCTAGGGGGCACCGCGTCCCTAACTTAGCACGGATGAGAACCCACAGGTCGGTAATATGTCGGTGCAGGAATCTGTATCCAGAACTCTCCTCGTATAACTACTTCAGTAACACCGATAAAAACTCGATAACATTATTACTGTAAATTAAGTCAAGTACTAACTTAAAGTAGATTAAGTCAATTACTGTAAGTTAACGACGTTATTAATCAATAATCACAAACACCAAATCGCTTTACATTGCTACTTTTGTATCGTGAATATATTATATAAGCATGCGTACATATAAAAATTAGGTACAAAATTATTTTGTCGTCTTCATACATGTAGGAGTGGGCCCCGAGCCTGGTTTGCCACGGGCCTGACGATGGCAGTGGGGTCACGTGACTGCAGCTCAGCAGCGGAGAGGGGGAACGACAGTTAGTTCTGATTTAGACTCTAAGCAAGGGTGTTCGTTTGTATAATAAACGTCCTTGTAATTATTAAAGTTGCAGTCCGTCATTTCACGTTCACCTCGGAAAAGATCCCCACATACATTTATTTATTTTTTTTTTATAAAATGAAACGGTTATGGAAATTTTGCACGGCGATAATAAACAAATTATTACATTATAATCTATATGTATAGTGTGCCCGCTTCCAGTCACAAGTATATCGTGTTTGGAGTCAATGTATAAACGGCTGTTATAGTCGTAGTATACTTCATTGAGGTAACTTGAAACTTCGTTGAATTCCTTGTCAGTGACGAGAACGCATTTATTATAGCTATCTAAGCATTGAAAATTTTGAAGATCGTAAATTTGTAAGAAGGTCGATAGATGTACATGATCGTTTCCATTTGAATAATTAAATTTGAATGGTGGATACTTTTCATGGTAGTAACGAACGCATGGTGTGTCTGCTGCCGATTGCTATCGTCCTCGGTACATTGGACTCTGTTATTTGGTTTCTGGCGTTGATGGGAGATAAATTATGAGAAAATGCTTGATTCATCGTGGATCTTAATGTTTTAAGCCTGAGCCGCTATCGGTGCCATCGCCGCCGCTGCCACTGTTGCCGTCGTGACC